AACACTGGGCCCAGGACAGAGCCCTGTGGGACCCCACTGGTCACTTCCTAGAGCAGAGCAATCTGGAAATCTCCCTGGAAGCCAAGGTTACCAAACTGAGGCTGTTGTACTTCGGACACGTTGTGAGAAGGAAGAACTAATTGGAAAAGAAAATAATGCTGGGGAAGGTTGAGGGAAGTAGTAAGAGAGGAAGGCCACATACTAGATGGATGGAATCTATTAAGGAGCTTACGGGTATTAAGGAGTTGCAGGATTTAAGCAGAGCAATGGAGGACAGAGGGTCCTAGAGATGCCTCATCCATAGGGTCGCCATGAGTCAAGATCGACTCGAGGGCAGTTAACAACAAAAACCCTATGATTCAAAGATATAGCTGTGTTAGAATCAGAGTTGTGGAGAGACCTTGTGGCACCTTTGAGGCTAACTTGAAAGAAAGAAGTTGGCAGCATGAGCTTTCATAGACTAAAGTCTACTTTCTCAGATGCAGATGGTGGATCTGAGAAAGTAGACTTAGGTCTACAAAAGCTCATGCTTCCTACTTATTTCTTTCAGTTAGTCTCAAAGGTCCTACAAGGTCTCTCTATGTCTCTAAATCCTATGTTGTTCATGGGGTCACCATAAGTTAACAGGCATCTTGAAGGCATGCACGCACAAATGGATCCCTATATTCTTGGATAGAATCCAAATCATTAATCGACCAAAACTCCAGTCAATAACACTTAATAAATAGTGAAACCAGAATAATTACAATAACCACTATCACGCCAAGAATTATCCTCACCACCACCACCGTAACAGAACACACACAGTGACATTAAAAAGTGTCTTAAACTGGACATTTAGTGGGGCACTACTACACCCCAGGCTTTTTTGTAGCTGTCCAGTGAAGTTTCCTGGGAGAACAGATACTTGACCTCATTTGAACGTTGTCCTTCCTTTACTGCCTGTGTAAGAGCTGGGTACACAATGAACAATAAAAACACATCAGAATAATTACTTTGCTGCTCTAATTACATGTGAGCAGTGATGGTTAGGGAGAAAGAGGGAAGGGATGGGTAGGTTAGAGGATTTATTTAAGTCTAATTGATTTGTTTTACCATTTCCCGACCCCCACCCCACTCCTGTTTTCTGGAGAAGTCATTTGCAATAGGCCCAACCTGCCTACGCTTCCTTTGCATAAGCTTTAATCTTAAGCGACTAGTGGTTTCCCGATCATCTGTGTTAATGTTTGGGTTTGAATTAACATGCGCAAGGGATGGTCACATGATCTCCCTTTACCTTTTCCACACTTTGTCGGATCTCAGCCAAAGCTGGGCCGGAACCGGACGTCTTCAAAACACAAGATGCCAGCAATTTCGGTCATCTACAAAGGAGCTATCATCATTAGCAGGTAATACCTTGGAGGGAATGAGACTTGAAGGGGAACTGGATGGTTTCTTTAGGTTGGGCAGAGTTTGCAAATTATATGTGGTTAAGGACTTCAGAAATGGCCCTCTCTTTTGCAAGCCCCCAGTGTCAGGCCTTGCATCTGTCAGTGTCAGTGGGGAGAAAATTACATTTACTTTATCCTGACATACAAAATCATAGACCATTTTCAAAGAGGACTACAAGGGTAAAGACTGAGATGTTTAGGAAATGTTTTGTCAAGAGTTGAATGTAGTTCCTTAGGCCAGATATCTTCAAACACTGGTTGGTGTCCCATTAGTTACATTGTTATGTACATTGTTATGTACCTTCAAGTCAATAAGTTATGGTGACTCCATGGATTTCATAGGGTTTTCTTAGGTAAGGAATCCTCAGAGATGGTTTTGCCAGTTCCTTCTCTGAAATATAACTTAGAGCACCTGGTATTTCATTGGCAATCTCTCATCCAAGGACTAACTAGGGCTGACACTGCTTAGCTTCCAAGATCAGATGGGATCTGGTGCCTAGCATATTAAATGCACCTGAGTAGCCTGTGAGTGCACATTCGAAACAGAAAACAAGATCACTCCATACTCTGCATGACATCTTTTCATATATTTAAAGATGGCTATCATGTCACCTCCCAGCCTTTTCTTCTCCTAGCCAAACATACCCAACCCCTAAGTCACTCCCTGTAAGGCTTGGTTTCCAGACCTTTTAACATTATGGTTGTCCTCCTCTGGACACATTCCAGCATGTCAATATCCTTATTGGACTGTGAGTTTTGTTATGGTGCTATATCATTACAATGTAAATTGATTTAGTTTCCTTCCTTATATTGATGATGGATACCTGTTTTCTTTTCCTTTAGAAGTCATTGTGACAATCCTTTCTGTGATGGGTAGGAACACATAAACTGAAAGAGTGAATTAATATCTCTGTTGTATCAGCCGGTGATGGAATGTTATTATGTCCATGAAGTACTTGTTTTAGAGATATGTGCATAGGAACTACTCTTGTTCTTAATTTTTCAATATGACATCCCATTATCATCCCACTAGTATGTTAGGGATGGGAATCATGGTGTCCTCAGATGTTGTTGGACTGCAACATCTAGCAGTCTTCACCATTGGCTATGTTAGCTTGAGCTGCTGGGACATGCAGTAAAACCATTTCCAGAGGGCTATATGTTTCTTACTCCTGGTGAACATGGTTCCTGTTGAATCAGAGCTCCAAACTGAAGGCTCAGGGGCATGTTGATCGCAGGTGCTAGATAAATGGAACAAGAGGATATTTGAGTGTCTGAACTTTGCAACTGGCTAGGGATGATGGGACTTGTGCTCTGACATATCTTGATGATGCCAGCTTGTGGAATGCTGCTTCAAAATCCTTCTTCCAGAGTGCCTTCACCACCCATTTGTGGGGAGGGCATTGACAGCCAGATACGTAGATCCACATTATACCTCTAAGGCTGCTGCCACACTGCAGAATTAATGAAGTTTGGCACTGCTTTAATTGCCATGGCTCAATGCTATCGAATCCTGGAGTTTGTAGTTTGTTATGGCACCAGAGCTCTCTGAGAGAGAAGGTTAAATGTCTCATAAAACTACAAATCTCAGAATTCCACAGCAGTGAGCCATGGCAAGTAAAGCAGTGTCAAACTGCATTAATTCTGCAGTGTAGATGCAGCCAGAGAAAACACAATGATGCCCATATAGTCTGAATTTGTACTTAGGCTAACCCTACCTTTAGGGATCATGGGGCAGTCATTTCAGACATCAGTTATGAGGAGTCACGAAAGGGCAGCTGATTCTTATTTATCTACTTAATTATTGTTGTACTTCCAGAAGCTCTGATGGGATTTTCTGCTCCATGAACCAAAATAACCAGGCTGCCATTGGATATGATGAGCCTTGACCTGGATGCTCTGCCTCACAGCAAAATGTGCCAGCTTGGGTTTGGGCAGTGAAGCAGTGCATTCAATCCCTTTAAAAAGCCATACAGGTGGTATGGTATAGCAGTATGTCCCAAACTTGGGTCCCCAGGTGATGAGTGTAGCCAATGGTCAAGGTTCTGGGAGATGTAATGCAACCATATTTCCAGCCCCAAGTTTCTGAAACACTGCCCTAAAGGGACCATAATCCTAGTCCAGTTTTTAAAGAGAGGTTGGATGGCCCTCTGCCACTTTGATAGCATCTTCCTTTATGGCAAAGTGTTGGACTGGATAGCTCTTAGGGTCTCTTCCAACTCTAGGATTCTGTGATTCAGTATGGTACTTCTTGTGCTTAGAATCATGTTACCAAGGTCCATAAAATTTCCCCCTTTCATTTTGATTTCTACTTTCAGGACACTAATGGGACCACATGGAATGGATCGGACTGTGCATTGCATCGAATTCTATGACTGCACCAATGGGCTGGGTGAGTGCATTGCTTTAGGTTTTGGTATTATATGACAGCAAATAGAGTCAGCCCTCTGAATCCATGGATTCAAAGTTTGAATATATATATCCATACACACACACACACAATTTTATAATATATATTATATGAGTTGCCATGCCCCTTCAATTCAACAAAAATCCCGACACACAAAATGAAAAACATTTCAAGTCCCAAAGGAGAATCACACTTGCAAAAGCTTCCAGGGGGTGCAATTCCCAATTTTTGAAGAATATCCAGAATCTTGACCACTTGCCAGAGCTTAGCACCCCTTCTGTAGGCCCAAAATATCATTTTTGCAAAATCAGAAACAACTCTCCAGTCATTTCTGTTTTTTTTAAAAAAAAGGAGTGGATGCAGTGCATGGAAGTGTTGGGCTCATTTAAGCACTGCAGTAACTTAACATTTCAGCTGAGCATTAAGAAATACAGTTTGGGCAGCCACAGAAAAGGACCAGGCAAAGTGACCAAGGAAATGCAAACATAGCAAACAGAAGAGTTCTGTTGTTGTTTCTGTGTGCCTTCAAGTTGTTTGCAACTTATGGCAGTCCTAAGGCATCATCACAGTGTTTTCTGGGGCTGAGAGTGTGTGACTCGCCCAAGGTCACCCAGTGGGTTTCCAGGCCGAGCAGGCAATCGAACCCAGATCTCCAGAGTCATAATCTCACACTCAAACCATTATGCCATGCTGGCTCTCAGAAGAGTTCTAGGGGTGAACAATTTTATTTGTCTCATTCTCTGCAATGAGAAATGGAGGAAACTTTCATTTGGAGGGCTGAACATAGTTTGAGGGTAAGGTTCAGCACTTTGGACAGCTGCCTTCAAGTTCACCCAGAGAGAATCCAGCTTTTTTCTCATATGGAAACCACCACCAGCTACCACTGGTCACAACTGTGCCTCAACACTTGCCTTCTCCACAGGCTGACAGTATGTAACTTGCCCAAAGCAAACCAGTGGGTTTCATGGAGAACTGTAGTCCAACACTCAAACCACTGTGCCATGCAGGCTCTCAAAAATAGATAAATAATTTTATTGTTGTTATATACCTTCAAGTCAACTCTGATTTATAGCAACCTTCTCAGAGGGATTTTTTTGACAAGATTTATTCCAAGGAGGATTGCCATTTCCTTCTTCTGAAGCTGAGAGAGTGTGACTTGCCCAAGAAGATCTACTTGTGTTTCCCTGGTTGACTGGGGATTTGAATCCTGGTCTTTTGGAGTCCTACTCCAGTGTTCAAACCACTATACAACACTGCTTTCAAATCAACTGTAACTTATGGCAATCCTATCCTAAGTTTTCTAAGGGTGCATCTACACACTATAGAAATAATGCAATTTGACACTACATTAACGGCCATGGCTCCATCCTACAGAATCCTGGGATTCTTTGGCAGAGAAGGTGAAAGGCCTTATAAAACTACAAATCCCAGGATTCCATAGGATGGAGCTACAGCAAAGTGGTGTCAAAGTGCATTATTTCTAGAGTGTAGATGCACCCACAGAAATATATGTTCAGAGATGGTTTGCCATTGCCTTCCTCTGAGGCTGAAAGAGTGTGACTTGTCCAAGTTCACCTAAGGGGCTTCCATGTCTGAGTGGGGAATCGAACCCTGCTCTCCCAGAACCTTAGTTTAATCCTCAGACCACTGCTCCACACTGGCAACCCTTTTAATTAAAGAACTGAGAGTTAGAAGCCTTTTGTGATCTTTAATTTTTTTTGGGGGGGGGGGTTTAGGCTGTGTGGCCATGTTCTACAAGAGTTTCTTTTGTGATCTGTTGCAAATTGTATGGAGCTCTACCAGTGGATTCTGATATACTTTCTGGTCACTTCTATGATGATGATGATGATGTATTTTTATTTATATCCCACTTTTCTCCTGGTATAGGGACTCAAGGTAGCTACTTCTACCGTAAAATAGGACACTATTTCTACTCTGTGAACCTCTGGCAGCAAGTCAAAAGCTGAAAGTGCCTTGGAGATCTGCACTGATCATTTAATTAGAAATGAATCACTGAACAGAGGTGCGGGTTAAGCAGAGCTCCTCTGAAAAGCTGAGATCCAATTATCCTGGCCTCCATCTCCTTAGACTGAGGCTTAGCTCACTTCACCTGCAGCGGATTCTTCGAGACAAAAAAGATGCCACTGAGATGCAAAGATGCCAGGGAAGGGAAGAAAGTTTAAGCCAAAAAGTGATCGCCATAAGTCAGAAAGGACTTGAAGCCACACAACAACAACAGTGTCTAGTTCATTTTCAAAACACAAATATATACACACCTGCGTCCAGACCTGGGTGCAGATGGTCCCCGCAAAGGCATATAGGACATATACACTGGTCTATGAACTGAGGCATCATAAATCATTAAATTTTCTTGTGCGTTCACTGATCATTTGCAGGAAATGTTTTAATGTATTCAAAGCCTTCTCTCGGCAAATCCTTCTTTATCCCTAACAATGTCGGAAGAAAATCCAATCTGTTTATTAAAATCAGTGATTACTCGCACAGCATTAGCCTCCAGTACATTCATCTTTTGATGGCTATGTATGTAGGGAGGGGATATGAATTGGTGATGTTGTTTGTCTTACTGACATTGTATTTTAATTATCATTGTAATTAATGTTATTATATTATTGCATTTAATATTTTGAGGTGTGTGTCTGGGGGAAGGTAAATTGGTACAGGTTGAATCTCCCTTATCCCAAAATGCTTGGGACCAGAAGTATTTTGGATTTTGGAATACCTGTATTTGCATATAGGTATATAATAAGATATCTTGGAGATGGGACCCAAGTTTAGACATGACATTTATTTGTGTTTCATCTATACCTTATACACATAGCCTGGAGGTAATTGTATACAATATTTTAAATAATTTTGTGCATGAAACAAAGTCTGTGTAGACTGAACCATCAGAAAACAAAGGTGTCACTGTCTCAGCCACCCATGAAAAAAGTTTTGGTTTTTGAAGTATTTCAGATTTTGGAATTCCAGATAAGGGAAACTTAACCTGTAATGTTTTTTTAAACATTGTAATAATATTTTTTTTAATTATTATATTTAATTTAATATTTTGTTGGATTAGCATCAGCTTGATAAAGGGCAGTTTTGGTAAACTCTCCAAGGTCTCTCTACATACCGATTCTACAGACTAACGCAGCTATATCTTTGAATTTTAATTATTTTTAATTTTAATTATTTTTGAATCATTCTCATTTACAATTTTATTGCAAAGCTTGAAAACTATTTGCCCTGTGAGCCCCCTTGGGTCCATTTCCAGGCAAAAGGCGGCATGTAAAATAATTATTTAATTAAAATGAAGCAACTTTATAAGCTCTGCTAAATGGAGGGTGGAAAAAAGGGCAAG